TTAGGAAATAAGAATGGGCTGATTTGTAAACTAAACACAACTTGAGGGTTTGTTTTCAATAAAATAAATGGAAGTTTGAGTTTTATTTTCAGATTTTACTGATCAAACAAGCAATTCGTATGTATGGCTAATAAAAGAAATGAATGGTTTCTTTCTTTTGGCTACTGATCGAAAATACTTCACATATGTGCATGAGGTTTTAAGAAAGAAAACACATGAATTTTTCTTGCTTCCCTAGTGAGTTCGAACAACATAGGAAAAAAATAATAAAAAAAATAAAAATAAAAATAAGAATCTTAGCGATGGAGGACTTACGGTGGCACCAAGATGGTAGTGATGGTGCAAGGTTGGTGCTGGACGGAGGAACTTGTGAGGGCAGTGGGTGGTGGAAATGGTGGTTATTCAATCTAAGGGATATAGAGGGATTAAGATTGAGAGAGAGGGGAAGAAGAGGAAGATGATGGCAGATTTTGTGAGTGAGAAATGAAGGTGTCTAAGCCTCATTTTATAGTAAACACACACACTCACATACAAGTTTGAGCCATGCCTCCAGCTAAGCAATGTACTCACAAATTGAAGTGTGCAAGCAAAAGAGTGAGGATGAGGAGAAGATCACGTGGACAAGACCAAGAGGAGAAGCAATTGGCTGACGATTTTCTCCCATGCAAGTCATGTGGGTCCACATGGGTTATTCCTCCTTTAATTGCCCAAAACACACAAAATCGGGTGTCTCGAGATCCGTGCATTGAGAAATTTTTTCGAGAATACCGTTAGATAGAGTTTAATTCAATGATTCTGGAACATTAAACGGATTAATTTTTGGAGTTACGGATCTCCGGAAAATTGCGTTTGAAGTTTTGCGTCTAAAAGGCTCGCGGTGTCCGTTTTCGTGACTTTTGTAAATATTTTTGTTAAAAATATTTCGAGTGTGAAATTAAATAATAGACTATAACCTGAGTCCAAAAATGTTATCGGAAATCCCGTCGGCAAAGCGTAAGTACCTCAACGGATCGATTCGATTTTACGCGATTAAAGAAAAGTAGTGTTTTACTGTCTGATTTTCTTAAAACCGTCGTATCTTTTGCATACGAACTCCGTTTTCGACGTTCTTTATATCCACGCATAGGCGGGAACGTACTCTACAACTTTATGTAAAGATATCGGGCTTATCTCACACTTTAATTTTGACGCTTATTTTTATTCTTTATTAATTATACCTTTATAATTAAATTATAAGCACACAAATACACATAATTCACATAGTATTCAAATATTTCATCTTTATTACTTCAAAAGAGTTACAATAGTTGACCTAGACTATTACATCATTACATCATCTGATAATGCTTAGCCCCAAAACTCGGGCGTTACATAGGCCTTGGGCGAAGGCGCCAATTACAAGGAATTCCACATGACCCGGGACGTTTGGTGTTGCCAGAGTGAATCTGTCGTAATACACGCTTATCAACTCACTCTCCTTTTTCTTGCATGCCATTATTGAGTTCACATTTCCCTTACCCTTCCTTAGTTGCATGAAATTGTTGAGGAAAAGGTATCTTAACTACTCGAAACTCGAGATGCTTCCAGGTCGTAATGCATTGAACCATTTTCCTTCGTTTCTCGATAGCGTAACTGGGAGATACATACAGGTGAACCGTTTGTCCATCCTTAGCAATGTCATCATCCACTCATAAGTGTCGATATGCTCATCGGATCATTTGCACCGTCATACTTGGGGATGTTTGGTATCATCGTCGAGTGTGGGATCTCATACTGCAAGAGCTCTTGGCAGAAAGTAGAGCTGGTACTCCTCACCGGGTTTTCCACGTGTGGATATGGAAAACCACCACACATCATGAATTGTTAAGCGTAATACAGGTTCTTGTACGCTTGATTGTACATCGCTGCTTGCAAGATGTACAGTTACTGTTGTGAGCTTGTTTACGTGCTTTGTTGCAGCTGTGAACTCGATCCCTGTTGCTGGATCATGTACAGGTTCGGCCCCTACGGCTGTTGAGCTTGAGCATTGAACTGTTGTGCCGATGACGAGTGAGAGTTGGATTCTTGTGACGGTGGTACTTGTGGAATGGATCCCTGCAACTGCTGGAAGTAAGGATTGAGCATCGGAGGTTGTTAAGCAAAGAGCGGAATGTGTGACATGCCCGCTATTGGAGAGAACTGATAGTTCGGCATTGGATGTTGTGCGGAAGGCATTATGGTTCCTAGGGACCAAGCATTCGTCCCCGCCTGCTGCGGTAGTGATTGCGGCTGAAAAACTAGTGGTTGCAAATGCTGAGTCGATAGTTGTGGTTGTTGGGTTGGTGGTTGCGACTTCTGGGTCACTGTTACCTGAGGTGTTGTAGTCGTGGTTATAACCAGATGATCTGTTGTGACGGGTGGTGGTCGCCATAAGTCAGCTATTGTTGTCGTTGCGGTTTCCGTTGTGGAACCTGGTGTTTGTGTTGTTGGCTTTTGGGTGGAGGCTCGTCCCTCTGATGTAGATGCCTGTGTGCCATCGAGCGACGAAATGGATCTGAGTGGACTCGTCTCGCCCCCGACGGACGCCATAAGTCCCTTTCCTGCCATCACGAACGCCTAGAGTCGTATCAAGATTGTGTAACTCTGAGTACACGCCCGGATGACGCCAAATGTTGTGATATGAGCTTCAGACTTCACACCGTTACTTGATGATTCCGGTTGGGTTGAGTCATGTAATCACAACAATGAAGAGATAGCGTTAGTCGGCGTCCGAGAGGTGGTCCCGGAACGAAGCGCCGACGGTCTAGTTACTGTATGTTTGAGAATAAGGTGATTAGGGTTTTGGATAGAGAGAAAGTGATCCCTTCTTCTGGAGAAGAAGGGTCCTTTCATATTTGTTGTTCCCAGCACACGATCCCAACAGTGTCCTTTGTCTCGTCTAGGCTGACAGGGCGTGGAGGAGTCTCCTTGGTGGATCGTGCACCACTAGTGGTCATCTCCTATTGGTGTAGAATAAACATAGGACAACGCCCTGGGCACTACACGTGTCGCTCTGGTAGATGACCAACTGTGATTTGTCTTATTATAGACCGGAGATTGTCGTCAGGAATTGGACCTGGGCGCAGGGGCGCCAAGCGTGAGGGTCCTAGCGCGAGGGCGAGGGCTCGTGTCTGGCGCTAGGACGGATTCGTGACCGTTAGCTAGGTCGTCCTAAAGACAACAGTTCTGTTATCTTTAACGTATTCCTAGTGGGATACATTAACATATACCACTAAGAACCCACTTCCCACATGAACAAGTCCTCTGAATCAAATCCACTACACAATGATCCATCCAAGGTCAAGCACTTGATACTTCCCATTCCTACGGAAAATGAAACTGTAATCCTCTGCCTCTTTCTTTATTCCTTACACTAGCTTTGTTACAATGGGGTTTAAATTTCCTAGAGATCTCATGATTTGTTTCTCAACATCACAAATTCTTTTCATTGGATACTCTTTAATGAACTTTAAGCATGTTATTATGGGCTTACCCCTTGTAGTGGGGGGTTAAATTTCTTGGGGGGGTCTCATGAATTTTTTTTCTCAAACATAACATATTCTTTTCATCGGATACTCTCTAATGAACTTTAAGAATGTTATTATGGGCTTGTCCCTTGCATTAATTATTTTTGAATTAAAAACCTCACAATGTTGTTTAAAAGAGCATCAGAAACTACTATTCATGTTTAAATATAAAATCTAATTGATAAACATACTTAAGGTAATTAAGAAAAATTCCAATGAGTAACGACTACCAGAGAAGTGAGATCTTGCCGAATGTTTTAAGGGAATTTGCTTCAACCATTCATGAGCTTTAACATTAAAATCTTTGAAGTCATCCATTACTTTCTCAAACAAATATCATTAGTTGCTATTTTTGTCAAACAAACTGTATAAGAAATCGTACTTATACAAAGAGAAAAATGCATACATTTTGTCTGTCATTGATAACGATGAAGGTGAAATTTTAATGAAACACCCAAATCAAAGACCTCCCCAAAACATTCAAGAAACCATGGCCATAGACTTGTGTTTTTCAGGCTCAACCAATACATATGCAACTAGGTATATGTCATTGTTTATATCTAATCAAACTGCATTTAAATTTTTGACAAGGATAAAGTTATTTCATAAATCCTAAATATTTTCTTCATGCATTTTCTTAGTATGATACCTACCAAAACTAGTTGGAGGCACCCCACAATTTTAGATGTTCCTTATTATACTTATCTTTTAAAGGACATGAACCATGATGTGGAGCCACAAGAACCACATTGGCAAATTCCTTCCTATCACATTCAAAATCTTTGGAACAATGTTTGGCGACCATGCTTCCCTCTCAACAATATATACCTTTTAATTGTCCGAAAATGGCTTAGTTACATGTTTGGTTATTGTAGTTTTTAATTTAGGAAATTAAACTTTTGGTCCTTATAATTTTTAATTCTAAAACGAAATGGTTTAATTACAATTTTGATGTCTGTACTCTGTAGTTTTTAATGTTAAAAGCATGTTAATTCAAGTTTTGTCCGTCTAGTTTTTAGTTTAGAAAGTCTCACTTTTGGTCCCTATACCGCTATACGTTTTAATTTTAAAAGGAAATGGATTAATTACAATTTTGGTCATGTATCTTTCAATTTAGGAAATTAAACTGTAGTTTTTAATTCTAAAAATAAGAAATGAATTAATTACATTTTTCATCTTTTTAGTTTTTATTTAAGGGAATTACACTTTTGGTCTCCTTTTATCATTTTAGTAATTATTATATAAGTATTTAGTATTTGTTTTAATATATTCATAGCTTTTGTGTTTAATTTTTTTGCATGTATATATCTCAAATATAATATAAATTACACAAGTAATTTTACATAACATCATTTTCTATTAATTTATTCAGTCAATAAATATGTGATTAATAACAAAAAGGCTTTTAGCCTAGCGGTAAGAAGTGACAGAGGTCATGGGTTCAAGTCTCGTTGTTCCAAAAAAAATTAATAAATGAAAGCCGCAACACACTTGCAATCACCACTTGTTTGTATTAACTAAGCAACCTATAAAAAAAATTAAATACACCAATGCTTAAACATAGAAGTTAAAAAGTTAAAATCACTTGTAAATAAACATAAAGCCTTGTTCAACTTCAACCTGCAAAATGGGTCCCTAAAAACAAGAAAAAGGTTGGTCAATCATAAATGACACCAAATGCCTGAATAATCAAAATCAATTTGGGGTTGGGATAATAACAGCAGTGACCGACCAGTTAGCATCAAACTTTTCACACTCTTAAATAGCAATCAACTTAATTCTTGTATCTTGACACTAAAAACAGCAGAAGCAACATCCTTTATCCTTATCCTTATGGGTGAAATGTGAATATAACAACAACAAACATGATTCATATCCTTTTCCTTTTAAATAGGGAAGGGAAGCCAAACATTTTTTGGCTGCCACTGGTTTAATTAGTAAACATGATATATCCTATCCATTCATTTAATCAGAGTGCAGAAGCTAATCTATCTAATACAAAAACTTCATATCAATCAATCACTCATCATGTAAATTAAATTTTTTTTTTTTTTTTTTTTTGTTGTTGTTAGGCTACTCAAGGCTCAAAAAGCAATCAGATGGACCAGAAGTTAAAGGAAAGGAAACATTAACGATAGTTTCAGCAAATAAAACCCATCACCTTCTCTAAAGTAGAGTCCAGGCTATAGCATTGTAAAATCAAATGCAATAATATAAATGTTTATGATAAGTAGGCATATCATCTTCGTTTGTGCAAAAATCTCTTACAATATTGGTTTTTTTTTTTTAAACTGCAACAAAGAAGGAAAAACAACAAGTACTGTACAACATACCTGGCAGGGAGGGACAAAGAAGATACGTGCTGTTGGCTGAGAGCAACAGTGACGAAGAAGCAGATTTTTTACCTTGTGAATGTGAATGAATTATACTACTTTTGATGAGGTAGAGGGTAATTTGGTAAATAATAAATATCATTGCCTTATATCAGTAGGCTCCAAATCCCTCCATTTTAGGAGAGTTAGGAACCATTCTCCCTTTCTTTTCTTGCCACTTCTTTCACAAAAACTAGGGAACATGAACTTCTTTCCATAAAATATACTGTTAGAGGGTGTGATGGTGAAGAGAAAACAGATGAAACCGGAGGTCACAAAGGCTTATCAAGTCTTTTGATTTACGTGTACACTTAAGTTACCTCATATACCCATATAGTCAAAGTAAAAAAATCAATAAAATTAGTCCAAATTAACATAGATATGCCTCACGTGTCACTCTGTTAAGGTGTCAAAATGCCTTTTTATTTCTTTTATACGAACCTGATTGTGATTCTTTGCCGGTCTGCAAGTCTACATCTGTGCTAATCCAGGCACCTGAAACATGTCATCCTCATTTCATTTTTTACAATTTAACATCATCATCATCTTCTTCACAAATTTTAACAATACTTAAAGGGTATATGCTTATCCAGATACTTCATTATGATATCATTATCACCCACCACCAAAATAAGGGAGAAACTACCTGTTGCTGATTCAGGGTGTGTTTGGGATTTTGCTTATTGCCTTATTGCAGTTTCTTTTTAAGTGTGTTTGGATATATTAAAACAAGTTTTTGTTAGTTGCATAATCAGAATTTACCTAACACTAAAAAAAATACATTTTCAACTTATTACGTTTTGGTACTGCATAAACTAATCCAAACACTGTTTAAAAAATTGCTTTCTGACACCAGATAAGCAACTTAGCAGTTTTACAAAAAAGCATTAAGTTGTTTTAAATAAGCAAAATCCCAACCACCCCCTCAATATTATTTCACCAGACTTCTAACAAAACAGAGGACACCAGACAACCAAATCACTGCAAATTTCCAAAACAAAACAAACCACTTCCAACAACACTTCATCTAAAACAAAAACATCAAACTGCAAAAAACTTACAAATCATGTCATATCATTCTCTTCCTCTTCCTGCTTTGACATCAACAGAAAAGCTATACTCCTGGTCGCATCCCATGTAAGAAGTCACACATGAAATACAGAGTAAAGCTTTTCTTCCCAACTGCATCACTTGGAGCAGTGATGTTATCAAGCTTCACCTTGGCCTTCCTCTGCAACGAAACCCTCTTGATTGCAAGCAACTGGTTGCTCTTTGTGTCACCAACCACCAACCACCAACCTTCCTCTTTACCTTTTGGATACCTCGGGGCATCCACCGGTCCCACCTCAGTCCTACCCTCTAAATCCCTTTCAAGAGTCACCACCATAGTAAACTCCTCTCCAGCCCTAATGTTGTCACCATCCACCACATCATACGACAAATCGATATTAGGGAACCGGTTGCAAAACTTTGCGATATCCATGAGCTGAGGATCCGACATCTGTAACAGCTCCCTTCTCTCATCGTCCTCCATTTCCACCAAGTCAAACACAGTCTCTATACTCCTTCCAGGGTTTTCCTGGCATCTCTTGGCTACATCTTTTGTAAAATGAGGCAGCTGTAACAGAACAGAGTCTCTCTCCCACATGCCCTGTGTCACCATCTGGCTCACTTCCATGGCCAGAAGAGCCAAGCTAAGCCATCCATTGCTTGAAATAACATCAACCATGGCCTGAAGCAACCTGCTTGCAGATAGCACCACTTCTTGCTGGTCAGAACCAAGATTCCCACCTACCGTTTGTCTAGCAAAGTGTGCTTGTAGCAGTGCATTCGCCTTCACGTGTGGGTCCGCGTATTTCGGGTTCTCAAAGGAAAACCTCTGATGATGGATCAACCTACGTATCAAATCCTCTTCTCCAGGGCGAACAGGAAGTTGCTCATACTCTGAAGCGGAAGCCAAAATCTCCAAAAGGCCCTTCAGCTTTGTCTTGGTGGTCAAAGAAGAACTGAACCGTTCTATTGTAGTGTAGCTGATGTAGTAATAAGAAGCAATCATACCAAGATTCAAAGGGGAAAGATCATAATCATCTTCAATCGTAACACATTTACTCGCTTCCAGGTCGCTTAAAGTGTTCTCCACAAGTTCAGACAGGTGATCCGAGAGATGCCTTTGACTCACACCTTGAAGATTGTAGTAATTTGGGTTCTGTGTAAGCCTCCTGTACATGAATGTCCAGGTCAGATAATCAACAGCATCTTGCTTGTTGGCAATCACTTCAACAACCACCTCAGCATTCAAATTATCATGTAGGTGGTGATGCAGATGGCTTTCAACTGGGAATGCTTCGAATAAGAACTTCTTGTAGTATTCCTTACGTGGTGCATGGCAGAAGATGACACACTTTCCAGAGTTATCCACAAGAGGCCGACTTGCATGGCCCATCATCTGAAGAAGATCGGTAACTGGATAATCGGTGTGTGCGTTTTCCCGGCCATCATAGTACTGTGTTCCCATAACCACCACCAAATGTGCACGAAGAGAAACCCCCCAACACATTGTACCACTCATCACACATACCTGAATACAACCAGTTTCAAACAGTGTCCTGACTATATCTTGGTCAGTTGTGGTTAGACCCTCATGCAAATATCCCACACCGTAGACCAGAGTTTCCTTCAACATGGGTTCTTTAATCCGCTCAACAAACGGGCTTATCTCATTTTCAGATTGAAGTAAGAACAAAGGCTTCTCTCCATTCTCGTATGTACTTTCAGCACTCGAATATGTCATCAGATCCACAGCAGTTAACCTTGCATGCTTCCTTGTTGGAACAAATACAATGGCTGGTTTTCCATTCTTGGCATGTTGGACAATAGCAGTGTAAGTAGGTTTGCTCATGGCTTGCATTCTGGCTTCAAAATTAGCTATGTCTATCCCCTGAATATGGATTTCCAAGGGCACAGGCCTAACACCTGGTGGGAAATTGAAAAGACCATGTGATGTGGCCCCAATCCATTCACCTAAATCTTTGGCATTTGCAAGTGAAGTGGATAGTGCCACTATCCGAATGTTATGACCTTGACTAGCAATGTATCTCATCCTAGAGACAATCACCTCCAACACTGGCCCACCTTGACCCCCAATCAAATGCAACTCATCAACAATAAAAAGACTTACTTGCTGAATATGCTTACGTTGCTTCCATCTACGAGACAAAGCATCCCATCTATCCGGAGTGCTGATTATCACCTGCCCTTTTTCCAGCAACTTCAAATCTGTGGCTGTTTCCCCGGTCAACTCGCAAACTCTCAGCCCAAGACCATCTCCAAATTTCTTTTTCCATTCATTATATCGCTCCTTGGCAAGTGCTTCAACAGGAGCAATGTAAACAGCACGCATCACTCCCTCCGAAACTTTCTGATGGTTCCTTAAAACTGCAAACTCAGCACATATGGTCTTCCCACTGCCAGTTGGTGCAGCAACCAACACATTGTCATCGGTGTTGTATAGAACTGTGAAGACTTGAGTTTGGACAGGGTTAAAGTGTTTGAATTCTTGATAAAGGGCTTCATATAATGGATTTCTCAAAGCAGTCACAGGGAGTGGCTGCAAGTCCAGCAGCTCTGTTGGTGGAGGATACTTTTCCGGTAAGATTAGGTGGCGGAAAGAAACAGACAAAACAGACAGGGATCCAAGCCATCTGTCCGAGACAACCTTAATGAAGTACTGAGGTGGCAAAGGTTCATAAATCGGGACTGTGAAACTCAAAGTGTGATCCTCGTCGATGTATTGTTTCTTCAACAAGAAATACTCATTATGGAGTATGTATTCCCCATCATTATCTTCTACAATCACCCAAACGGCTCCACATACCCATGAATCCTGTCTTCCCACTGAAAATCTGGAGTGATAGTGAGTTCCACCTTCAAGATGGTGCGGGTGATTGGTTGAACATGTGCTGCAAGATTAAGCTTTGGGAATTGGTGAATGCACTTGTGAAGATTTCTCCCTAACTTTGGTGCTCTAACAAGCTCTCCTAGCTCTTGTGATGACAGATCATAATATCTTTCCCATGCCAGATCCTTCTTCTCCAGTTTCATCAGAATGTCATTTTTAATACCGTGAAATTGGCGTAGTGGGGTTTGTACGCTCCAGATCCTCTTGTTAATCATTTGCACAGGTTCAAGGCTTTCTCGGCTAACTGTGCCCATCCTCTTTTCAATACAATCTCAAAAAGAGCACGCATAAGACGTCCCGCACTCTGCAAAACCAAAGTGCAACTCAAGTTAGAAAATAATTATCGTAAGAGTAAAAGGAAAGAAGCATTGATAAATATGTAAGAAATAAAACAAACCTGAGTTATGAACACCATGTCAGATGTCAAAGAAAGTCCTTCAAGCTTTAACTGGGAAATATAAGCCTGGAGTAAGACATTGATCTTTGCACTGGGCTCTTCCAAACTTTCCTTGATGGGAATAGGAACACGGTCCAAAAGCTTTGCAAGTTCCATCTTCTCATCTTGTCTTACTGTTACATATTTGAACTCCTCACTCAGTGAAAATAATCTGCAAAGCTCAATATCGCTCATGGTGGGCTTCAAATGCTCGTTGTAAGTAGCAATAGTTCCATGAGTTATGTAGTAGTAACTTGCGATTCGACCCAAATCAGTAACCTGAAAATACCCACTTTTTCTATCATACTTCACCAGATTGTTTTTATCCAGTATTGTAGCTGCAGAATGGACCTGCAAGAAACAGTAAAGAGCAGTATTTTTAGACAGTATTGTGGCAGACTAAATATTAATGTGGGGTAAAAAAAAACATACCAGATCAGCTCTCCTATCTACAAGTAAAAGATCTCTTGTCAGAGCATCAGCTGATAAACCATAAAGTGTAGGGTTGCGCACCATACGAATGTATAAATAAGTGTAACCAAGCCAATTGAGGGCTTCTTTTGCATTCTGCACGGTTCCAAGGACTATTTCTGCATTCAACTGATCAGCCAATTTGGACACAAACTGACTTTCAATAGGAAGCTGTTGATTCATCAATGAAAGATAGTACTGCAGCTCACTGTGTCCGGTTATAATGATTCCTTCACCATAAGTATCAAACTGTGGCCTCCCAGCACGACCCAACATCTGCATGACATCCAGAGGACTAAGCTCTGTCCAGGCTCCTTTTTCTGGGTTATAAATTTGGGTTCCTTTAATAATCACAGTGTGGGCAGGCAAGTTCACACCCCATGCAAGAGTAGCTGTTGAAACAAGTACTTGAATGTGTCCATCAGCAAACAGTTCCTCAACAAGTTGACGATCAGCCCTAGCCATTCCTGCATTGTGAATTGCAAGACCATAAGGCAACAGATCCTTGAGATCATTGCTTTTCACCAGCTCAGTATGTTCATGGAGAATTTCACGACTTGCACTATCTTCTTTCAAAAAGATCCCCAGGGTGTCATTGGCAAGAGCAGTGTCTCTAATTGCACGTGCAGTCTTGGTTGTTTCTTTCCTTGAATGCACAAATATAAGCACCTGATGCTTCCCAGCCACTCCAATCACCTTTTCATAACAAATATCATTCATCAATTGAAATCTCTGCAATGGCTTCTTTACTGTAATTCCAATATACTGTTGAGCAAGTGGGCAAGGTCTGTAACTATTGTCAAAATGAAACAGGCCTTTCTCCAAGTCAACTCGCATAAATAACGCAACATCATCATAATTGGGAAGTGTTGCAGATAGCCCAACCAACCGAATATGTTCCTTTGTTGTCTCAATTTGTCTAACAGTTCTTGCCACAATACTCTCAAGAACAGGTCCTCTGTTATCATGCAGAAGATGAATTTCATCAATAATTAGAAGCTTAACAAGTTGAGTGTAAGTGCGGTCTCCGGATTTTCTAGTGATAATATCCCATTTTTCTGGAGTGGTGACAATGATTTGTGTTTCTTCAATTTGTTGACGGGTCAAAGACTGATCTCCACTCAACTCCATCACAATGATGCCATAGTGGGGCTCCAAACGTTTAGACAGATTACCAACGATTTCAGCAACAAGGGCTTTCATTGGTGCCACATAGACAATCTTGTAGTCACTGCGGTTGAAAGTACCATCTTCATTCATATGCAAACCTATTTGTTGCAGAATCGTGAGCATAGCAACATTGGTCTTCCCTGCTCCAGTGGGGGCACAGAGTAAAAGATTGTCTGCTCTGAACAGAGCAGTCTCATAAACTTTACTCTGAACCCTATTTAACTGAGTCATCCCCTTAAAAGCTGGTTGTGCCCAGCTTGGCATGGTTGGTTGAGATCTCTACAAGCTTCTCATCAGGAGCAAAAGGTTTGGGATTCAATGCCGACACATGAACCTCGTCATATCCCTTGCTGTGATTTCTGTAAGAGCCTAAAGGAAGCTCACACTTCTTATTTGTCATCAAAAGACCATCTTGCTGAAACGCGATGCTTTCAAGATCAAGCAACTGTCTTTGACCATTTAACCGACCGTTCTCAGCATCCCTGTCAACAACATCCCTTCGACCACAATCCCCATTTCCACCAACACTCTCATCCCTCAACCGCCTTGCTTCTTCTCTTATGCTTTTCTCTAAGTTCTTCTGCCTCTCTTTTGCTGTTGCCCTTGTGGCATGCAATTGTTCCAATATTGCAGCCAATTCAGGCCCCAGTCCCATCATTTGTTCTTCAAATTGCTTCCTTTGATCTTGATCTTCAGCCCTTGCAAGACGGGTACACCACACAATCTTCAGTCTGTTCCTCAAAAGGTACTTTATCAGACTGAACTTATCAAACTGAAGATGCACCAATAGCTTCGTTTCCACTTCACGGTCATCACCTTCTTCAAGAATCTTTAGAACCTCTTCAGCAAGCTTCTGGCTCAGCTGTGGATCAATCTGCTGCTCATAAGCCTGGGAGATCTTCCTCTGAAGCCAATAAGCATCAATGTCCTGTACATTAAGTGTCATACCCTCATTAGCTTCTTGTGAGTCGTCATCATCCATACCCCCACCCATTTGCATAGCATTGTTCCCATCTCTGTCCAAAACACCATCTTCTTCCTCCTCGTCATCTTCCTGTACAATATCAAGATCACTCTCTTCATCTTCCTCTTCATTCTCTTCGAATTCAACAGCTATACCAACATCATCATCAAGAGCATCTTCACCATTTGCAGCATTAGACCCAGCAGCATCACCACCTGCATCTTGAAAATCTGTTATAAGCCTCCCAATAGAGACTAACTGATCAAACAACTGGTTCGGTATAGGGTTTAGCAATTTCTCAATATCCTTCTTCTTGTCCGGGTTCTTCAAAGTATCATTCTTGAGCACAGCCAAGATCTCATCTGCAGCACCACGGACAATATTCAAAGGCTGACCACCCAATTGTGTCTGTATCACACTAAGCATTGACTCATATGCAGCTCGAGTTTCTTTAGTCTTTGGCTGATAAACCCCTTCATCTGTTGATGTAAGGACACTCTCTTCTTGAAGATGCCGCCTCTTGCTCTGTCTGTTATTCCCAGCTTCAGCAGAAGCAAGTGATGATGGTTCACGTTCCTTTTTCTCATCCAACTCTGCTGGTCTCCCTCTATAAGCACGGTCACCAAAACTCTTGGGGTCTATCTTCCCATACAAAGACTCAGGCTCCCCAGTTGGCTCATGCGTATCTCGTGGAGACAGAGAATCCGTTGTCAACACAAGGCTCGAGTTGGCTCTGTATTCATACTGTTTAAATTGGGCATGTGCCTCAGCACCACCACCTAAATGTGCCATCTCTAATCAACCACTTCCGATTCCACAAACCCTACAATCACCAAAATCAATTCGAATCAGTCAATTGAGTATAACAAACCCACGTAGTACGGTAAATATACGACTTTCCAGATCGATAAACTCTATATCCACCAAAAACATATTTAAACAAGTATTACCAGAAGAAAGCAAAATTTTAAAAGGTATTACGCGGTAAATGAACACGTATCAAATTCAATAAACCTTGTAAATCGACAAACAGATGTAGAAACCACGCCTTGAACCCCCATTCAACGACATATACCACGCTAGATAAAACCTATAAACATGACAATAACTAAAACTAGGTTTTAGTTTTGAATCGATTTGAACTGTAAATTTAGAGAAGAATTGGTCCAATGTCCCAAAGATTTAAGGCATACAGAAATGCAAAAGCGGCCAAAGTTCAGTAAGACTATTCTGAGTAGGTGTTCTAGCCATGAGTAGAAATCTAGGCATCATATAACTCTCTCTAAGGACATTATACAAAACCTGAAAACAATCAAACAGTTAGTAAATCTGAAACTAATATATCAATCTTAAAATTTAAAACCTACACTGGACTTTAAGTCTTTGAGCCTCATCAATAACAACATAATATCAGTCATACCATCCATATGTCCAAAAAGAGATCAACTTTTTTTATGAAAAACCTAATAATATCCAGTTGTAAGATTGATAACAATTTTTTCCAAACGTAACTGAATTTAGATAATTAGGCCTCCATGTTATCATATTTTAAGTGTATGGGATTGTCAGAGTCCGACTATTGTTTGGGCTAGGCCTACCACTTAAGCAAACCAAATTTTGTGGAACAACAATCTTACGATATTATGATAATAGAAGGAATTCGGTTGCGCCGTTCGTGATGGTTTGAACAATGTTAGAAGATAAAAAGCTGGAAATATTTTTTTAACATAAAATACGAAGAACGGAATGGTCCATTCCATGCCATTTGGCAATGGAATGAATAATTCCATTTCTTCCTTCATTTCATTCTTGTTGGACGGTTAACACTATAAAAAAAAATCCATATCGACTGTGAAGTTGGAAACTGAAATCCAATTGAGAAAGATAGTCAAAGTAGAAATTTTATTTAGCAGAGCTAGACTAATAAGATATAGAATCATAAATTTGAAGCTTACCAGACACACTATACATTGTGTTTGTTCATTGAGTCATTTTATCAAACAGTTAATAATGACATTATTTAAAAATCAATTTAATGGTGGATTGGATTATGAAATTATGAAAGATACCTTCACTAGATTTTGTGCTTCTCTTCCTTGTATTGCTTTAGAGATGGCCTACAACAATAAAGGAATAAGAATTTGCCATGGAAATAATGAAATCCATCAAACAAAAAAACAGAATAATTTTAAATCTGATATTAGTTATGAATATATGGGCTTATTAAGAGAAATTAAAAAAAAAAAAAAGATTTAAAAAGTGGAGGCATCATAAGGCCTGATGCACCAAAAGGGTCTTGGGGAAACATGCCTCCAAAGGGGACATCCATTGGCCCAAATCCATAACCACCACCCATGTATGGCGGCATGCTGCCACCATATGGCCCCATAAATGCATCCATTCCAGGCTGCATCCCATTCTAGTAAGGGTTGTAAGGGGAAGGACCTGGCGGCATCATATAGTTTTCAGCTGCAAAGTCCTGAGATGCCCTCCACTGCATTTCTGCTGCTGAAAATATAAAAAATATAAAAAAATGTCAACAAAAGATCCCATATGAACAATTGAGAAGCTACTAAAGGTATATAACAGTAACTGGAACTCTACCATTTGGCATGTTAACTTTCTTCTTTTTCTTCTTCTTTGCTGAAAAGAAGAACGGAAAATGTAAGCCAATAAATTCATACCGAAAATTTTATTAACAAAAAAAAGGTGGGTTGTAAGAAACAAAATTCACTTTATTTTTTAATAAAAGACAAAACTGTCATAATACAAATTAAAACACAAACATGTTTGTTCATTGGCTCAATCATAGCAAAGGAATGAGATTGAACTCCATTCCATTCCATTTCCTACCAACCAAAGTACCATATGACATATTACAACTTTTTGCATATTCTGATTCCTTTAACAGATTCCATTCCTTCCAAAAACAGATTCCATTTACCTGCCTCACATCATGTTTCAATTCTAAAGAAGAAGATATACTTTATGAAGACAGGCTCGTATGCAGTAATAACTACTCTGTCTCAACTCCTTTGAGTCTCAAATTCGCCAAGTATACCTAAATAAATTTATTTAAAAAAAAAATTGGCATTATTTAAAAACAATTTAATGGTGGATTGAATTATGAAATTATAAAAGATACCTTCACTAGATTTTGTGCTTCTCTTCCTTTTTTTTTTAGAGATGGCCTACAACAATAAAGGTCTGTAAACACAATATCCAAGAAGGGTAAAATAGGAATTTTGATAGTTTAAAGACTAAATCATAAGTTTGGTCCTTTTGGTATTATACTGTTTTTTTAGAATCATTAAATGTAACTACTTAGCTGTTATTTATTATAAAATGACGATTTTACACCACCAAAACCCAGAAAAAAAAAAGTTACAAATTTGGTCCCTTAAAATCTAACTACCCAACCGACCTTTTTTCAAAAAAACACGACATTGCCCTTCACCAAACCCCTAAAAAAGAACATTAAATTTGGTCATTCTGGTACACTAATCTTTTGGGTCCCCTTGGTGGTCTATGGATCGTTAAATCTTTTAAAATGACGATTTTGCCGTTCACAAAACTTCAAATTGACTTTTGGAAAACTTACAGTTGGGTTAGTGGCCAAAAGATCATCTCCAACAATCTGAACTTTGTCATCACATTCAGAAGTTATCTTGGCATATGCAAGAAAGTAGATCATTTATAAAATAAATAAATAAATAAATAAATTTAAGATGTGAAAGTTGAGACTTTACCATTTTGACTTTAATGTACACCAACTTTTGAATTTTTGCTTATCTTGAACTTAAACTACAACTTTCCAGTTATGCCCCTCCCTTTCAAACTCTTTAACCATCTGCCCATTTTGACTATCCACTTTTTATATGGTTAGGAAGAAAAGTTAGTGTGAATAATAATAGTCTATTTATGTTACCTTACACATAGAAACAAATACTTGCAAATACAAATTTTTAGCTGTAAAGTATGGTGCTACTTAAAAATAGTTTAAAGATGCTAAAATTAACCAAAAAAAAACTTACGTTTACTTATAATTAATAAAGTTACAAAAATTATAAAGCTACCTCATCGACACTTGTAATCCTTAATTTTGAAACAAATTTCTTCAGTGGCGTAGTTATCTTTAGGGAATTCTCTGTTGCACCTTGTAGTTGCTATGATAGCTCTGCAGTAACGTAAGTTACGTAAGGAATGGATATTAGCTTTCTCTATAAAACTTTTAATTTTGAGTAATGGAATGCAGGACACATCAACATTTAAGGGAAACATTTAAGAGAAGCTCATGAAAATTTTGATAACAGAGTCACATATGTTTTCTTTATGGTGTACAGTGAAGAATTAAACCTAGACAGAATTTGGACTTTGCTGAATATATTTCTTGATACATGAGAATCCATATATATGCCCACAAGGAAGACAACAAGAGAAGTCACATCCACAACAAAAAAAAATACAAAAATAAAAAGATAATTAGGTCTAGCAAATTCACTGAAACTGTGATGCAGTCAGAAAACCTAAAATGAAAATAAGTTCACAAGCGATGAACTTGGAGAAGGGTGAAAATTCAAATTCATATTTTGTTTTTACTTTATTTAAGATTTAAGAGAATAAAAGACAAGTCTACCCCCATCTGAGTATAGCAGAACCCCATGTAAGGCCAGCACCAAATCCAGCAGTGGCAATAGTTTGACCTTGTTTGACTTTCCCACTTCTAACTGCTTCATCTAACGCCAAAGGGATTGAAGCTGCACTTGTATTCCCATACTTTGCAACATTCGATATCACTCTATCTTTTGGCACCTCCAATCTTGTTGCCACCCCATCAATGATCCTCTGGTTCGCCTGTCAAAATTACACAAATACCCTTCAATTCTTCATGTCTGTCAAACTACATAGATACCCTTTTTCATGAAGTAATGGGACCCACGCCCACCTGATGGAGCAGCAGCCAGTCAATATCTGACTGATTAAGACCAGATTTTGCTAGTGAGGCCTCAATTGTCTGTGGGACAACACTAACAGCAAACCGAAACACTTCTGTTCCATTCATTTTTATACATGAAAAAGATGAATGATTAGGAGGGAACCCTAGAGCTGATCCGTTTGTACCCAATGCATCGTTTGTTGTACTTTCTTTGATTCCAGCATTCAGGTGCCTGTTTGGGAAAAGGGTTATCAAAAAGTTTAAATTTTTTGAACAAATTTACAATCTTTCCTTAAAGAAACCCAAAAAAGTTAAAAAAAAAAAATTCACAAATTTAGAATCTTTCTTTAAAGAAACCTGTTGCCATCTCCATCACTGTGAAAGTCAAAACCAAATAAACCGTCCTCTTCGCTGTCACATGCCTGTTGAAATTCCAAGAATACCCTTTAAGACATACAACATTTTTTTTTTAAAAAAGGTTAGAAGAAAATGAGACACACCTGGACAAGAACAGCACCAGCTCCATCACCAAAGAGAATGCATGTCCCTCTATCTGTCCAATCAACATAACGTGAGAGTGAATCTGCTCCAATCACAAGTACATTCTTGAAACCACCACCTGTAAATCATAAAATAAAAATCAAGAAATGACACCAAAAACTGAAAATTGCAATATGAATAACAGCATACTTTACTCTCACTACCAATACGATAACTACATCTGAAACATCTATCAACGATTTTTGACTACACGGAAGAAGAAGAACAATTAATATGAACACTAACAACATATTTTAAAAAAATCATCATAATTTCTTTGGATTTCTGCAAAAAGGTTTGAAAAATAACCAAATAGCTTCCACTTCCATGAGTTGTAGTCGACAGTACAGCACCACAGACCGACAACCTTCCAGCGATGTAAAGCCAATGGAAACAGGATAAGAAGAAAAAGGGAGCGATGGAGCAGAAATCAAAACATAGAAATGAAGTGGGTTTCTTTTATCTTTTTGAGCGTATGATGGTTGTTTATCGATTTCATAGTAGAAAAGAACATACCTTAAGGAAGCAAACAAACAACTACGGATGTGTTGACGTCGGCAGATAAGAGCGATTCGAGATATGGTGTTTCCGGTGATGTAGGGTATTCTGTACTGATGTAATTGAAGGAGACGGAGGTAAATTTGTAGAGGGGTGAAGAACGAACTCCCTGGTGGTGGTGCGCAAACATCTTACCACCGTCGATCAATCTTCCCATTCATGGATTGCAACCCAGGTGAGGAAAGTAGGTGAAGTGAAGTGGTGTGGGTTTGAGAAAGTGAAGGGAATTCAAGAAGGAAATCGTAATAGTCAGTCACCAAGGGAGAGAGACGGTGTGGGAAAGAATTGAGAAAAGAGAAAAGGAAGCGGATAAAGGTACAGAAGATACCTGTAATTGAGAAAAGATACATGTAGAATATGAATCACCACATAAACATCATCAGGGAAGAGAATTAGACAGAGCATATTAAAATCACAATAAAATCCAAATAGAAACCATACCTAGACGAAGAACAGTGAAACAAATGGCAAACATGCAATCGAATCAGCCAACATCGGCTTGTGCCCGACCGAGAAATAGAGGATCGTCTCATCCGGGACGCCAGGGCGCCGATGCAAATAATTCCTTCTTCGTCTTCCCCATCTTTTTCAAAACCGTCGGTGGAACCGGCAGGTAATACTGATTTTGGAGATGTTTAAGAAAAACGCAAACGAACGGTATTGGATGAGAAGGACGGCAACCGCCTTTGAGGAAGAGAAGATAAGGATGGCAAAATGTATACCGGGTTGCGCGAGAAAAGAAGAAACGGAAGTTTTAGTGACAAAATAACAAAGGCAAAGAATCCCGTGTCAAAATAAGAAAGAGAAAAAACTTTACTGTTTTCCAACTCTTTAAGCTTTTATGTTATATATAATTATCATTTTGTTATTCTATGGACTAAACTGCACAAATGGTCCCTGTGGTTAGCTGAAAATTGTCACTTTGGTCCAAAAAAGTTTGTTTGACAACTGGCGGTTCTGGGTCAACTAAAGTCAACACGTTAGCAAAAGTCAAACAAGTCAACTAAAGTCAACTGATTTGGGACATAAATTTTGAGTTATACCTTGCTTCTAGCGTTTTCGGTTTGGGACCGAAAACTCTATGATCTCGCCTTTAGAGTTATCGGTTGGGGACCGAAAACTCTACGATTTCGGTGGTACTGGACCAAAATCACATATGATTTTGGTGGGTTAATGAGGTTATCGGCTGATAAAAAATAAAAAAAGAAGGAAGAGTTGACTTAGTGACATGAGGGTTTCATCCTTTCAACGGGTATCAAGACTATTATCCATCAAATAACAATGCAAACATCATTTCACCCTTCCCCTCTTTAAACTCGGCCGAGAACCCCCAAACCCCCACCATCTTCAAAATTCTTCACTTTTCTCTCAAGAAACAAGTTCAACCCTTCCAAGGATAAATTCTTCAAGTTGATTCTTAAAATTTTTGGTAAGTATTCCTTGTTAATCTAGTGTTTCTACACACTTTCATGCTAGTTTCATCTCATTTACACACATTATTATGTGTTAAAACTAATAGGATAATATCATATTCAAAGAGTTCTTCAACCACCTTCAAGTGATCTAGGCTTGAAGATCTTCATCATCACTTTTTTATCCAACCACAAACACACTCAATGTGAGTTCATACCCCCATTTTTTCAAGTTTTTCATGGTTTAAGGGGGGGGGGGGTGATACAAGTAAAGTTTGGTTTATAACACAAATGTTTGCATGTTTCATTCCTAAGTTGAATATAAAGCATTATTTGCATGAAATATAGTTATCACTGGTTTTTAGAACATTTATTTGTGGTAGGTTAGTTTTAAGGTGTAAAACTAAGAAAAACAAAACATAAACTATGTTATATATTCATAAGAAAAAGTATTTATTACAAAGTACAAAGACTAGGGTTCTTTTTGGAAAAAATATGACATTTCTAACAAAAATGGTTATAACCTAATTATTATACCATTTTTGTGGGATAAAACCTAAAATCTGTTGTTTTGGTCATGCGTTTTGAAACTAGACAAAATATCAAGGAGTTAGTTTTACAAAAAGAAAACTCAATGAGCAATCATTTTATGTAAAAATGAATTTTTAAACAAAAATGGACATAAAAAGTTTATGACATCATTTTGTGAGCTTTAACTAAAAATATATGGTTAAAAACATATGAAGCTATTTTGAGTTAAAAATCCCAAAAAGGTTAGAAACAAGTTTTATCGAGTTATATTTTCCCAGCAAGCGGCAAATATCGTCAAAAAGGGGCAAAAGGTAGAAATTGACTTTTTTTTCATACCAATTTCTCATACTTGTGTTAGATGTAAGTTTTTATGATATAATCTTCTAAAAACATATAGACAGGATAACTATTACGTATTTATATAAATGTTTATATAAATGGATTCAACAAAACATTCATAATAAACTATAATTGGTATAGTTTGGGAATCATAGATACTACACTATCATTTTGGACGAATCATATAATTATTTAAAGGTATAATTATTTTTACACTATGTAACCACTATGGAAGGGTAATACTTTCATTTACAAGAAAAAGGGTTTTCATTAGAATAGACGTAAACCGGTTAATACAAATTTGTGAGACATGTCTTCACCGTACCTACCAGAGTACACACTAAAGTCCTGAATTATAACCAGAGTCTCGGTAAGAGAGTGTGACACTTGTGTATAGATCTATACAGTAATGACAACCCCGCACCCAAGTTATTAGCTACAGTAGAATGGCAGGTCTAGGGTGACAAATGTCTAACATTCCGACGTCTGAAGAACGTCGTAGCATGCCACTAGTCGCTAGTATGGTTATAATAACTCACATGGGGTATTAAAAATACATTTGGTTTACGGGGTTAACATAAATTCAAGTAGTTTTATATAAAGATAAAAGTTCATAATACTATTTTCCATTACAACACTACTTACAGATTTGGTCTTTGGATTTAAGATTTACAGCTCATTATTATAAGAAAATATTGGATTTTCTGAAAACGCACTCTATCATTTTACAAGGAAAAGTTACCGATTTTTCTCATACAAAACTCTTATGAACTCACCAACTTAATTGTTGACACTTTTCAAAATAACTTGTATTCTTAGGAAATCAGTAAACATGTAATCCAAAGAGTTTTGAGGATGGGGCGTCACACGTCACGCAATTCATTTTTGTCATATGTGCATAATTTCAAGTAAACAATGTTTTGAATACAATGTAAACTTCTTAATTATCAATATGATGGTTGTATGGCTTAGATCACTATTATTCATTTGTTATGATACTGTACATGAAAGTCATCCACCCACAGACGTTTCCACCGTTCTGGTTTGGGGTGTGACATATTGGTATCAGAGCATTGTTTATAGTGAACTAAGTATATCAAACCATGTAAGATATAAAACTATAAATACAATGGGGCTAAAACACTCTGACTAAAAAGTATACTTTTAAGATATAATGATATTTTAGTAAAGGTATGCGTACATGCATACATACTAGGAACAATGTTATAATAAGAACCATATAAAAAGTGTTAAGATGAGTTAAACACTACGATTAAGCCTAGACCTTTATGTAATCATATATGGGATAAATATAGCCTGATCAACTATATTTATACGAGATATGACTAACATGTGTTTAGGAATGATCGGTGTGAGCAACGGATCTAAAACTTACCAACCTTATATACCAATAAACTCTAGAATCAAACATAAAGATTAAAATACTATAGGAGTATTTTAGAATACTACATAGTCATACACTTAAACCCTGATGGGTTTTGGGCATTACAACATTCCTATGGTGCACATGCAACCCTAATTGCTTTGGATCTAAGTTTTTCTCAAGTTATACATGCAAATCAATTATCCAAAGCAAGAACCCTAATCTAGCATACAATTTTTGGATTTAATAAACAAGTTAGGGTTAGAAGAATACCTTTCTTGTTGATAGCTTGATCTTGAACTTCAAGAGCTTAGTGCCTCAATTGTTGCACCTCTAATGGAGTCACAAACACCACTTAGCAAAAGATGAACAAGAGAGAGAGGATGGAGGCTATCAATTTCGGCTAGGGTTCTTCTATAAAGCATAGGGTCGAAAACTGGTAGCCAAGGGGTCCTTATATAGTTGAGCTACTCCTAGGGTTTTCAACTGGAAACCCTAATTCCCTTGCTTAGGCCCTAAGCAATCGGCAGACCCCTACATGAAAGGCCTTGGACGAAATCTTCATGGACTCCCATAGAGTTTTCGTCCACCCCTTATCAATAGGGTCCAATAGCCCAAATTACAACTATTACTGATTTACATAATCAATCTGTTCTTTTAATCAGTTTCTTTTGATCACTAAATTAATTCCAAATTAATTTCTGATCAATACTAATTAAATAATATGATTTCTCAATTAATATATTATTCTTATAATATATATTAATAAATCATCTATCAACCTCTTTCTCATAATTCATCCTGTCAAGTTGTTATGGTGAAGACAACCCAAAAGGACCATGGTACTATCGGGTCAAGTATATACCAATTATAGTTATGGGCTTAGACACCTAATCCAACAGTCTCCCACTTGGATAAGTCTAATAACTATAACTGCAAGTACGAATTCAAAATCCGATTAGCAATCGTAGCTCTCAAAGCCGCTGTCGAACTCTGACCTAGTCAATGACGCGTCCTTTAGATAAGGGATCATATAATCATCCATTCTGCTAGATATCGTGTGGACAAAGTGTCACACCCTCAATGAGCAATCATTTTATGTAAAAAATGGATTTTTAAACAAAAATGGACATAACAAGTTTATGACATCATTTTGTGAGCTTTAACTAAAAAATACATGGTTTAAAACTGTAACGACGTAAATTTTCAAACGTATTTTTCATTTTTCAAACATAACATATCTCATATAAATCATCTCAAAACTCAAGTGTATCAAATGTTATCACAGTAAAACATATCCCAGAATCTCAAATACAAAATCCTCTGTCAGTGTGTGAAAATCATGATGACGCCTTCCATCGATCCTCGCTAGTACCTGAAACACATATCACACAACACGGTAAACATAAATTCTTAGTGAGTTCCCCAAAATACCACCTATAGCACATAAGCCACTCGAGGCTATAACTCAGTATGACCCTCCGGTCAATGTGACTCAGCGGTACCCTCCAGTCCCGTAGCTCGTTGGACCCTCCAGTCCGGTCTAGCTCGTTGGGCCCTCCGGTCCGGTCTAAATCGTTGGACCCTCCGGTCCGGTCTACTCGAGGACCCTCTGGCCTCGTAAGTCGTTGGACCCTCCGGTCCGGTCAATATAACACATAGCATACATATATCACAATTCACATAATCTCAAACATACACATAGCACATAAGACCCTCCGGTCTGCACATAGATACCACTCTAGGTAATGTATAGTGAGAAGACTCACCTCGTACGATGTCTAGTAAACTCTCGTGCTCGATATCCCCGACCTAGCCTCCGCCTATCAAAATGATAATATCTCTAATCAATACTCTCCTCATGTTCTCATCTATAAAGAATGGGTAGAAGACCATTCTACCCTTCCATGGCCTCTCATGAATCAGTTTGACCAAACCCCCAATGTCAACTGATGTCAACTCTAGTCAACGGTCCAACTTTGACCAGACTCGTCGAGTGCACTCGGGTGACTCGGCGAGTCCATGCGTGTCCTCTGAATCCTCCTAAGGCC